CCCCAAAACCCCAAAACCCCAAAACCCCAAAACCCCAAAACCCCAAAACCCCAAAACCCCTGAAAATTTGTACTAAAGGTAACATAAGGACCCGGAAAAATAATATTTTAAGAAAAGATCTTCTCGAATATGGAGAAAAACAGAAAGATTCTGACTACCAGTTCTGGTATGCCTATTGATAACAACCAGTTCTCACAGACTGCTGGAGCTAAAGGTCCAGTCCTAATTCAGGACTTTGCTCTAGTAGATAAGCTAGCCAAATTTGATAGGTAGGCTCTTCAAGAATTACGTCATTAATCTTCTGTAGAGAGAGAATTCCAGAAAGAGTTGTACATGCCAAGGGTGCTGGTGCTCATGGATATTTCGTTGTTACTAATGATGTCACTAAATATACCAAGGCTAACTTTCTCAGTGAAGTAGGTAAGCAAACCCCAGTCTTCACTAGGTTCTCCACTGTTGCAGGAGAAAGAGGATATGCTGACACTGATAGAGATCCAAGAGGCTTTGCTATCAAGTTCTATACTGAAGAAGGAAATTATGATATGGTTGGAAATAATACTCCAGTCTTCTTCATCAGAGACCCAATGAAATTCCCAGACTTTATTCATACACAAAAGAGAGATCCCAAGACTGGCCTTAGAAGCTCTCAAGCTGGGTGGGACTTCTGGGTCCAGCAGCCAGAAGCTTTTCATCAATTGACAGTTCTATTCTCGAACAGAGGAACTCCAGATGGATTCAGACATATGAATGGTTACTCTTCACATGCTTATAAATGGGTAAATGCTGATGGAGATGAGCACTATGTCCAATATCATTTCAAGACTGACCAAGGTATCAAGAACTTCACAGGAGAGGAAGCCACTAAGATGAAATCAGTGAATCCGGACTATGCTACAGAAGACCTACATAATGCCATTGAAAATGGAGATCCCCCAAGTTGGACCTGGTATGTTCAATTGATGCCAGTCGTTGATGCTGAGACTTACAAGTTTGATGTCACAGACATCACCAAAGTATGGCCTCATAGTGATTACCCACTAATTGAAGTCGGAAAAATGGTGTTGAACAGGAACCCAGACAATTTCTTTGCTGAGACTGAACAATCAGCTTTTGCTCCAACACACATGGTTCCAGGGATTGAGCCATCAAATGATAGAATGCTCCAGGGAAGACTCTTCTCTTACCCAGATACCCACAGACATAGATTAGGTGCGAACTACGATCAAATTCCAATTAACTGCCCATACAGAGCAAGGGCTGCCCACTATCAAAGAGATGGACCCTCTACGGTTACCTCTAACTTCGGTGGTCTACCAAACTACGAGCCAAACACCTTGGGAGGGCCAGTGGCTGATCCAAAGGCTGCTTGGAGCACCCCAGAAGTAACTGGAAAGGTTGGAAGACATGACTTTGGAACTCCAGATGACTTTGTTCAGCCAAGAGCCCTCTACAAAAATGTAATGACAGAAGAAGACAGAGAGCACTTGATCAAGAACACTGCTGATCACATGATGAGCGTGACCAAAGATATCAAGGAGAAGGCTGTCAAAATTTATTGGCAGATCGATCCAGACTATGGAGAAAGAATTGCTAAAGCTGTTGGTGTCGATGTCCCAAAGATGGCAAAGATATAATCCGTGCTTCATTAATAAATTCTTGCCTCAATTATTAGTTAGAAAAAGGGGTTTTGGGGTTTTGGGGTTTTGGGGTTTTGGGGTTTTGGGG